GAGATAGATTTTGGTAGCCCGACTGGAAAAATCGCTAGTCCCGGGACGTCGGGCTAGCGATTTTGCGAGCCCTGCTGATGGTCAATTCGATTTGGAATCCCAGGCTTAAATAATGGAGCCTTGATTTTAAATATGATAATGTAAACTAACAAGAATGAGACCCAGCTGTGGGCTAGCGAACGGGAGTTGCGCAGCTTTGCTCTTCGGTTGTCTGATTGCGTGCATACTGTAGCAGGATGATCCAGACTGTTCGCTGACAGTCACACCTGTGCCTTCTTGTTTCACACAGAGCCAGCTGAGATGAGCGGTCCAGAGGTGGCTAAGACACCAGGAGGCGGAGCTCCAGAAAAGGAAGGGAAAGAGCCGGTTGCCAATGGCCATGCGGGAGAAAACAATGACGCCAACCCGTTTGCTGAATACATGTGGATGGAGAATGAGGAGGAGTATAACAGACAGGTACATGTGACAAAAACGGATACTTGAACTCACTTTTTTTTTTTTTTTTTTTTTTTTTTCTAAACCTCACCATCCTGCAATCCCTCCACTCTTAATTTGAAAGTTTGATTCTGCCCTGAGCTGCTGGTGAAGTTGCTATTGAGACAACATAATGCTTTATTCACCCTCAGGATGAGAGGCTCACCTGAGAACAGGTGGATTTATTGCTCATTTATTTGTCAACAGTACTTGAAAAACAATGTTTTTGGATGATATGCTAATAAAAAGAATTATTAAAGATTAATTTAATGGTTAATTATTGGCAGACTCATACCCCTCTCCCCTGCCACCAATGAACTCTGATGCCTATGCTGCATCAGATACAAGGTTTCTTACCGAGAGTTGAGCATTTTTGTCAGCTTGTGACTTAAGCGTGAATTTGCAACGTCTGAACGTTTCCACGCCTTCACTTATTGTTCCACTTTACTGCTTATCTTATTATTTATCATTTCCTTTCCTGTGTCATTGTCTTGCAGGTAGAGGAGGAGCTGTTGGAGCAGGAATTCTTGGAGCGCTGCTTCCAGGAGATGTTGGAGGAGGAGGACCAGGATTGGTTCATCCCTTCGCGCGACCTCAACAACCAGGGGGTGGGGCAGCTGCAGCAGCAGCTCAACGGCCTGTCGGTCAGCGATCACCACAACAACCTGGAGGAAGTGGCGGTGAGTCAGATGCGTCTGATTGCGCTGCGCTCACTTTGTCGGTTCTTGATAAAATGAGTAATTTTATTCTGTTTCCTTCTCTCTGCAGAGGAAGAGCATCTTGAATCCTGAAGCAAAGGAGTTTGTCCCGGGGAAGAAATACTAGGAGTCCCCCTCACCCCCATGGAGCCTCAGCACGCACGCACACACATGCATAAACACACTCAGACACATGCACCAGTCCTCTCATATTCTCAGAGACTCTGGCGGCCACGGCCGCACACACGCTGATCCTCACACGCAAGCATGCACACGCACACACTTGAAGTCAGTGGCGTGCTGCCAGGCCCGATTGGGGGGTGGGGGGTTTTCTTTTCTTTTTTTTTTCTTCAATCTTTTTATTTCCTGTTTGTTTCTTGTAAACTGAGGGACATTGGGGATGGGTGGGAGAGGGGGTGTAGTACCAGCTCTGCCCTTCTGTGGGCGCTAGCTCATCATTGCATTTCACACCACGCTGTTGATGTTTACAGAGCATGCAGATCTCAGCAAGTCCCTTGAAAAATAGGCAGCTACTTGGGAGTGATGCCAAGACAAAGTCTAAATTCCAAAAGTTTAGTCTTTTTTTGTTTCAGTGTTAATTTGTGTCTAATTGGGTGAAAAACAAAAAACACACATTTCCAGCAGGTTGAAGGTTACTATGTTGCTGAGGTCAGAAGGATGAACATTTCAGGGGACTGCAGCGGGCTTCTGCCGTTGCTCTGTAAAGCCATCACAGTAACCCGTTAGCGTTTGCTCCTACGATGTCCTGTGACATCACGGCTCATGTTTATCTAAACGATGGATGGTTATTTGTATCTGCAGCGGCTCTGTTCCAAACCACGTGCAAACCCCTCAGCCCTCTCTCCCTGCCGGTTGAATCGATCCGAACGCTCATGGACGGGTGGCATCATGGAGAAGAACTTGTTTTCCCAATTTGTGTTGACATCCATGCTTATTTTTCATCAAGTATCCCAATCATGAGTTAAATAAAGGAGTTGAATAAAATTGTCAAACATCAAAGCTTTTTTTTTTTTTTTTTTTTTTTAATTTTTAAAAACTCAGTCATCTTTTTGTGTGTGCACAGCTTTAGTTCACGGCTCAGTTTTTGTAAGGTGTTCATCCTTTTTACGGGGGCGGGGGGTACTTGGTCTGGAACGCAGCCACTGCCTCTTTCTGTCAGCTTGGTTTGTTTAGGATCAGATCAAGTGTTCATATCCAAATCAGGTTTTTCAAATAGCATCTCATCCTTCCCCTTATTTTTCCTTCACATTTTTTGTTTTTGAGGATGAGGCTCTCTACTGGGTATAGTAGCCTGTGGTGTCCATTTAGTCCTGTTGGTAGGAGGAAACAAGTAGGGAGAGGTGATCGTATCGCCATGGGGATGGCAGTATGGAGGATGTGGCGGTCAGTATTTAATCCTTGCCGGTCTTGTCCTACCCTAGGAATCTGACTTTTTGTTTTGAGGAAGTTCTACTTTAAATCTTTTGTGGTCTAGAGTTCAAAGTGTCTCCCTGATGCGAGTATAATATCCATTAAATCGTGAGCCAGTAGGAAAAAGTTATATGTGACAATACTCTTCAGGAAATCCAGATTCCTATCACCAGTAATCCTGAATTGTTTCTTTTTTTCTTTCTCTGAATCTCAGCCATTTTGGCTTGAACATGGACGTAGTATTGTCCCAGGAAAAGTAAGATCTTGTGTATTTTTGTGGTAAGCAGAGATTATTTACATTGTGTTTCAAAGTATCTGACAGGTAGTGCTTCTGTCCACTCATGCTGCTTTCCGAGGTTTCTGTGAGAGACGGTGAAGCGTGGGTTTAAAGGGGAACTTCCTCAGTGTTGGACCACAGATGTCAAATGACACCCTGGTGACGCCGTTGGGAATGTCCGCCAGGTGGATTGTACAACATGAAATCATTTTTGGTGATTTTCATTTTCTTTTCTCTTTTTTTTTTTTTTTTTTTTTTTTAGTTGTGTGATAGAAGCCGTTAAAAAAAAAAAAAGAAAATAAATAAAAGTGTATGAATTTCAAGATAAACAAAAATGATGAAAAAAGTTGAATAAAGCAGCTAAAGACAAATGTTTTGTTTGCTTTTCTTTTTCTTTCCCCCTTTTCTCTTAATCTGTACACACACGTGACTTTTCCTGTGATAATTCTGAACAGTCCAAGAAAATCATATCGAAAATGTCTCACAGCTGAGTTCATTGTAAAGGTTCTTATTTCAAAGGTTCAGGACAATAGTCACTTTCTTTGTCTGTGAAGGTTCTCAGTCATCCAGGTCATCGTAGTCAAAGGAGCTTGCAAAGAAAAGAGTCTGGACTTCTTTAAGTTGCTTGAAGACGTTTCACCTCTCATCCGAGAAGCTTCTTCAGTTCTAAGGTCAAATGGTGGAGAAACCTAGTGGGAGTGACCCCCCACAGAGGGACAAAAGGACCCCCTGATGATCCTCTAATCGCCTGAGCCGAACTTTCTTTCAAGTCTGAGAGCGTGGAAGTTGGATCATAACACGGATCGATAAGTGAGGTCAACGTACGTGGCCAAGTTAATGGGAATGTGCCGATGAACTAAACACTCGAGAAGTCAGCGCTACAGGGAATACTGAATAAAATCAAGATTATTAAAGTTAGAATATAACATTTCAGTGGGAATTCACAGATAGTTATCGCTTCAAATGTCCGCTTCGCTCTTACTGTGAACTTCCTCGGGACGGCTCCGTGTGAGCTATCGTCCAAGATATTTATGAGTATTCGTATTCATTCCCTCTGGAGCTTTGGATCATATCACGGGATCTTTTTCAGCGTGTGGTTTTCATTATATTTCTGTTTATAAGTCCAGCTGTAGATGGATACCGCTGAAAATGAGCAGCTCCCAAATGTGCAGCGGTTGCTTGGTCAGCCACTATTAGCTTTTAATTGCTTAAAAATGATCATCATGTATCTAGACTGACTGTTTGGTAACAAATGGCCAGTTTTTGGTTACATAAGCACAAACCTTTCTACTAAAGCTGAGACGGCTTAAACAGCGACGCTCAACTCCAGAATATGTTCCACTGTCACTTACTCTCAGTCGTTTAAGCTTGTCTTTTATTTTTTGCACAAAGTACCTTGTCTAAGAATATATTTGTTTTGTTTTCGCATTCGAGGAGGCGGCTCACCATCAGTCTGTCTAGCATCAGCTTGATAAACGGTCATCTGATTGTTGCGTAAAGCTGTGCATGCCATTTGGCCTCACTGGAGAACCTGATCTCCTGGCCTTAAAGCAGACTGTCTGAGATCACCCGGAGATAACCTTTCACTTATAAACATGAGGACGTGGAGAATGCTTGATGCTGACCTTTGGTGGGCAAAACCATCTCAAATCACTCTGAGCCCTGCAGGCGTTAGGCAGGTTTGCAACTAAAGAGCAGCACAGAACAGTGATATCCAAGTAAATAAAAAATATAGATGCATAGGACGGTGCTACATTTCATCTTTGAACAAAGGGTTAATTCAACTGAAGTTCACAGTGTGGATCTGACAGCAGACTGGAGGAGTGACATCAGGATTACGTCTGCAGAAAAAGAGATGAAGGATTGGTTTTTGGTGACTATCCTGAAAATGAGCTCATGACTGTGTCGGTGCTCATTTCCAAAGCGAAACAGGAACAAAAGGAAGACGATCGAAATGTTAACAGACTAGAGGAGCCTGAAATCCAGGAATGTGAACGGCAAAGACTGCAAATCCCTCGATTTGTGTGCTGATATGAAGGAGCAGAGATATATGACCCCTGAAGTCACCACACCCTCTACATACAGCACCCAGGTGGAACCAAGGTCATTGCACAGGGACACTACTGTGTGCAGCACTATGAGTATGGATCATAAGAATGAAAAAGAGCTTAATTGGACTGTGCAGCTAGTTTTGCACCTAACCTAACAAATCCTCCTCTCCAGACCACTTGAAGCCCCTCTGCTTTAATAAAGTGCGACGAGTGAAAGCAGCTATTTTCTTCACAACTGTCCATTTTTACACGCTCACACAGCAGAGATGGGAATCACTAGACACCCTACAATATTGCTACGATAATTTACTCATGAAATGATATTACTGTGATGCTGAGCAGCCTTCCAGCTCTACAGGTGGGCCACAGGTTTTCAGGTTTCTTTCAGTTGGGAATGGTTGCCTTAGGAACCCCAGGAGCTCCAATCAGAATCATTAAATCTTATTCATCTCAGCAGAGACACTGAAGTTAGCATGGGGAATGATGGTTCGAATTTTTGTGGCATTTGTTAACATTTATTTAACTTAAAAAAAACCCCAAAAACTAAGTAAATCATCCACCACAGCTGTGTGGACACGTAAGCCTCTGCCCAGCACGAGGATGCCAGCAAGTTCACAGCTCACCGTCTTCCTGCCAGCAGATGGTTTACTGCTACGTTGCGACTCAGCTTTTGTGACCTCGGCGAGATAACCGAGATTCACGCACAAAAGCCTTGACCGCTATCTCCCTTTTCTGCGGAGGTGTTTGGACAAAGCAGCTCTACAACATTTCATACTAACATGCTGCACTTTAAGTCTAAATCAAAATACAAAAAATACATTTTTTTCTTAATGATCTGTATTGAGTCAAGATTCAGACTGTAGACCAGTGACAAGGTGGGCGATCAGAGAAGGCATCCTGCTGAGTCTAGGTGGAAATACACAAGATAAAGGGACAGACATGAGAACATAAACAGAATAAGCACAGGGCAAAAGCCTGCAAGTGTCAGGCTACTCACACAGAGCTTCCTTTGGCCACTCTGTATCTTAGAGCCATAGTTGAACTGGTACTCTGTTTGCGGCAGCTTCCTCCTAGTCTCTGTGCAGTAAGTTGCTGGCTGTACGTGGGCCTGAGGCAGGACGCTGCTCTGACAGATGGTTTTCAGCTCAAAGCACTCAGGTCCCCTTGCACAGCTGGGAGTAAGAAGAAAGGGGAGAAAGTGTCTGAAAATAGCACAGAGAGCGTGAGAGGACACGATGAAAAGGTGGAATTTGTGTCTGTGCCTCACCGGCTGCCCTGACCTAAAGAGTTCTGGAGGGAGGAGGCGCTCAAACCCCACAAGAAGGCACTCTTATCCCAGTGCTGGTCATCTAAATGGGAAGTTTCAAAGCACATTCATTCAAATACAGCTTCCTCTGCAATTTAGAGACTATATTTCACACCATGACTCAACAACAGTAACAACAATGTACTTCGATTTTGTCTTATTGTCTGCATATATATCGTTTACCAGTCTAACTATAATAGCATATATGTAAATCTCTGGTTTTAGACTGGTTTAAAATACTATTTTAAACAGGTTTTTTTACCCTTGGGTGTGCATGGTGTCATATAGCCCTGATTTGGTCGTCTCAGCCAAATGACCTGTTTGGGAGGGGCAGCCAATTAGAAGAAAGCTGGCTAAAAGAGAGGGTGAAGGGAGATAAACCTTCCTGTTTCACACAGTAGATGAACTGAGAGGTTACATCAAGTCCATCGTAGCGTAAAGAATGATCATTAGTAGTGGTGATGGAAAATAACCTAGTAGGCTAATTTTTTTTTTAAATTGAATTTTGCTTGTACACTTAAGCCCACAAACTAAGTGGGTTATACTCACAAGCTTTCCTAAAAGCATCTAGCCCATGGTCCATATTAAATGACTTAAATATAAGGCACGGGAGCCTGAATCGGGCCGGCAAATACTCCAGTTCGGCCCACTGGATGGCTTTGGAAAATGTAGAGGAGAACATAAGTTTTGGACTTTTAACTGTATTTTCATGCATTTTAGAGCTTTTGCTACAGATACAGTAATAGATTTCTGTAATTTTGCACATTTAATAGTTACAATTTGAGCCTAAAAAGTCGTGGTTACAAATGTCTCTCATTTGCTACACAAGAAATTCTTTATCACTTCAAAAAACGGGGGCATGAAGTTGAAATTGCACTTCTTTACTTATATCGAAACCTCAGAGATTAAATGTGTAGTTAAGCTTCTGTACACTGACACAAAGCGCAGTTTGACTGGCCTGGCACACATAAGATCAAGGTGAGTTTCACATCCCTGATTTATGGTCATAAAAATATGTTCTACCTTTGTTTGTGTCAACAGCAGACCAGCCTTGAGGAGGGCTGAGCAGGTGCTGCAGTCCACTTTCTCTCAGTAGATTTCTTAGAAAATCATTACAGCTGGACGGACCATCGGTGGAAGACAGCACAACCACACCTGAATGTGCACAAACAGCGAAAAGTGGGTTTCACTACATTCAGCCACGGATTCGGCTGCAGTTTGAAAACTCTACGAAACACGAACACGAGCGCTATTTTAGAAACCAGAACAACAAAGGCTTTGGTTTGACGGGTTTGTTACCTGGAGCTCAAGCACACAAACACCACATGAATCAAATCAAACAACAACAAAAAAGAAGCAATCTAACCTCCCTTGTAGACAATCTCAATCTTGGTATCGTTTGCCTCCTGCTGCTGCAACATGTTTGCTGTCAACAGAAGAAAGCTGAGTGTCTCTACACCTGCTGGCTACATGTTGAGTATGCATGCTTGCTTCAGAGAGAAACACACAAACAGTCCTTACCTTTTCCACCACATCCATCACAAACACGGCGCTGCTGACTTTCATCCTCTTGACCAAGGAAGAGCTCTGTC